TCATACTCAACATCACTAGTCGAATCATCAACCACCGCACACCTCGGGTCCTTGACATCACATAATAGCTCAAAATTCTTCTCAACAACATCCACAACATCATGAATTGCCGCATCCTCCTCCTCAAAATCATCCTCCCGAGCACTATTAAAACTATTAAGCACAATCGAATCCTCAAAAGAATTCTCCCAAGAATTCTCCCACATACCATACACCATATCAACCCCCGGATCCATGCTCGCACTCTCAACAATAGAAATCGAACTTAAAACACAATCACCGGAAGTAAGGTTTGACGTACCAAAGTAGAATGTACGACCGAATCGTCAAGAGAGTAAATTTATTTAACAACCAAATCGTCGATGTCCTCACTCGTGTCAAGAGATTGTGTTCCATCATAAACGAGAGTGAGGCTCATCTCTCTTAAAGAGGTAAACCGATCCACCATAGCTCGAAACTCACCCTCTAACTGAGTGCTCTCTTGAATAACCCTCGCCGATAGAGAACAATATCTACTGAGTGGAATATGAGATGCGTCCAAATCAAGGAAAGAAAACACGGTAGTCGAACTTCGCGAGTGTTGCTTGAAGAACTGATGGAATGGGAATACTCCTCCAACTATGAAACTCCTCAATGATCGACATGAGGCTCGCAAGTGCTTCTTGAATGCTCGTCAAAACATTTCTGTGACATTCGGTAGTCAAATGATGGAGCGTCAGATGTGGGAGCCATTAAAGAACGAAGGTTTCGATTGCACTTCTCTAAATGCTCTATAATCTCGTCTATATTGACTCGATAAGCTTCTCGAGTTGGCTCGGGTGGAGGTGTCTCTTCATAATAAATGGGAGGCGGTGGATAGTAGTGATGCGTCTCATCATGACCCGAAGAGTAATAACCAAAATCAACTTGAGATGACGGATAAGAATGACTCGGATACGGATAAGGCGACCCTCTATAGGGGTACATCTCCTCATGATAGTTGTCGGGGTATCCACGCGACGAGCTACCGGCATAAGAATAACCATATGGATTTATAGGAGCACCTCAAGCGAAATACCTCGTGTTAGTCTCTGGTAAGCAAAAATGCTTCTGGCACAAACGAACACTTTTAGGATGAAAGAAGAAGATTATGAACAACTCAATGTATTGAGTATTAAGTTTTTCTGTGTTTTCAAAACAAAAAACTGCATACCTATTTATAAGAACTAAAAACTATCCTAGTGACTTTCCTAGAAATTACTTAAGTTGAAAAGTCATGAAAAATCAGCCTAAAATGGCTGCCATGAAAGTGCTTTGCAGCTGCAAGGAAGTTGCAGCTGCACTACCAAAGAA